CATCACAGCGATATGCTACTTGGAATTCACATTCAAGTACTTTACAATAATTTTTTGGTAAGTTCCGCTGGAGATGTACTACCCTCAAAGATACGGTGCATTTCTTACGTGTATCTAATTCGCCAAACAACATATCTACACGCAAATACTGATGTTGCAGTATGTAGGACATTTGTGACATTGCGTATCGTATGTGTAATGAATAACGGAGATATCGTAAGAAAGAAGAAAAAAATACTATCATCGCGAGGTGTCTATTTGCTTAGGCAAAATCAGCGGGTCTTCAAGTCATACCCGCCATCGCCATTTGCTGTGGTTCCCACGAATTCCTATAAAGGTCAAGTCGGGGGATGTGAACCAGCGTCACTGCCAGAACGGATAGTTGATAAGAAACTGTCTTCCTGTGTCGCCGTCCGCACGAAACTCCGTAGCTACAGCGACGTTCCTCCATTTACCCTAGAGTATTACCTCTGGTACCCATTTCCTAGAGGCTGGGTGAACCCCGGAAACCGTCTGGTTTCGAACACCGGCCGTGGGCTGCAGGTGGATTTGAAAGCTAGTCTCCTATCGACTGCGCTTACGCGGCCTATATTCCTAAAGCACAATATAACTCTTATTCTCATCATCATCATCAATTTTCACTTTTGTCTTTAGTGCATGGGAAGGAACAGTCTGGGATTCATTACCTCATGGGTAGAAATTGCTACTGTCATTCCCTCTACGATGTAAAAGGTCTTTAATGTCAGAAGTCCATATTCTTCCTGGGGACTTCTTGCTTTCACGTCAGATGTTTTTATGTGTAGCTGTTCTGGCTACATTCTAGCGGGATGACCAAACCATATGATCTTCTGTTTCTCAGTTAATTTAGCGCATGGTGTTATTCCCACAGGTTATCTGAAATATCATTTTTCACTTTGTCTCAAATGGTTAAGTTGTCGGTTCTCCTCAGGCATCTTATTTCACAATTGCTATGTCTATGTAGGTAACAATGAAGAACTTTTGTCTAATGTTTAAGCAACGGATCAACATCATGGCACACGGTTAGTAACCCCTTAGTGTTCCGTTCTACTTCTAACTCAAGTCTGAGTCCGAAGTAGCTCGGCTCCGTAACACCGGCGAGGATCCTAAAATATTTTGGGTAGAATTTTAACTCCAAATTTTACCCGAGCAGCGCCGTTAGGCGACTCTTTTCCTTATCCAACTGCCAAGGGATATTTTACGTGTCCAACAATACACACAGCCGTCCAATCTCACTACACAGAGACCAGAGGAAATTACTAGAAATCCACATGAAAAGATCCGAACCTTCACCGAGGCCTGAACCCGAGACCTCTAGCACACGAGGTGAAAACCATACCTCGAGACCACGCAGCCCCTCCCCCTTTCGTCTATAAAGACGAAAAGCTGTCATTAGTTTTTCATTTGAACAGAGAAAAAATGTATGCAAGAGTTATGTAGAGATACAGTTGGGTTTATCACTATCTATAAAATGTCCCACCATGTGAAGAGTATTCAGTCCTTTAAAAAACAGATCTAGCTTTTCTGTATCCAAACTGTTCTTTCCTTGTCTCCAGAAAGATGTTCTTCGACTTCAAAATAAACATATCAAATTATTCGCCTTCTACGACATGCTTTTTAGGGAGCAGTCTATGCATTTATACTCCAAAGTGAGGTCCCGGAACCCACACGAGAAATGGTCACGGATGTGCACGCAAACTTAAGTTCTGAAACTGGATCAAGGTTTAGAGGTGGAGGAACAACCAATACTTTCAGCCAAAGTTTATTGCCGATAAACTCGAAGAAGAAGAAGAAGAAGAAGAAGAAGAAGAAGAAGAAGAAGAAGAAGAAGAAGAAGAAGAAGAAGAAGAAGAAGAAGAAGAAGAAGAAGAAGCAGAAGAAGAAGAAGAAGAAAGAAAGAAGAAGAAGAAGAAGAAGAAGAAGATGAAGAAGAAGAAGAAGAAGAAGAAGAAGAAGAAGAAAAGAATAAGAAGAAGAAGAAGAAGAAGAAGAAGAAGAAGAAGAGAAGAAGAAAGAAGAAGAAGAAGATAGAAAGAAGAAGAAGAAGAAGAAGAAGAAGAAGAAGAAGAAGAAGAAAGAAGAAGAAGAGAAGCAGCAAAAGAAGAAGAAGCAAAAGAAGAAGAAGAAGAAGCAAAAGAAAGAAGAAGAAGAAGAAGAAGAAGAAGAAGAAGAAGAAGAAGAAGAAGAAGAAGAAGAAGAAGAAGAAGAAGAAGAAGGAGAGGAAGAAGAAGAAGAAGAAGAAAAAAAAAGGAGGAGAAGAAGAAGAAGAAGAAGAAGAAGAAGAAGAAGAAGAAGAAGAAGAAGAAGAAGAAGAAGAAGAAGAAGAAGAAAAAGAAGAAGAAGAAGAAGAAGAAGAAGAAGAAGAAGAAGAAGAAGAAGAAGAAGAAGAAGAAGAAGAAGAAGAAGAAGAAGAAGAAGAAGAAGAAGAAGAAGAAGAAGAAGAAAAAGAAGAAGAAGAAGAAAAAAAAAGAAAAAAAAAAGAAGAAGCAGAATAAGCAGCAGCAGCAAAAGGAGAAAAAGAAGAAGAATGAAGAAGAAGAAGAAGAAGAAAAAGAAGAAGAACTTGCGCTGAGACTGAGCTCCATTGACGATATCAAAAGGAATGTATGGCATGGAAGACAACAAGGCAAGCCCTGTATAATATATAAACGCGCAGCAGGATGACGATGATGGTGATGACGGCGATGATGATGGTGATGACGGCGACGATGATGGTGATATTGATAATGACGAGCAGATCAGCTATAGAACTACCTTTATCCTATTAGTTCAGATAACATTCATACATAAAAACATCAGTCTGCAACGAAGTGGTTTTGTTGTTGTTGCGAACAATGAAAGAATAGAACTGCTCTTGGTTTGTTTCATTGTGTTATATATAATGAACTGAATATTAATGGTTGGAGAGCCGTTGACATCAGAAATTATTGCAGTACATATATTGATCGCAGGTGTTGCACGAAGTTTAAGTAATATATAAAGTTTCGTCCTTTTTAGAATGCAATTTTTTGTTATTTGAAGCCCAGGCCTGGCTTTTGCCAGGGGCCTCAACATAGGCAGGCCATAAAAAGGCCAATTGTCTAAACGCGGTTTCTGGGACCTCTCCACGGCGATCCTCATCTACATGGTGGCAGTTTGTGTCATCGGGTGTTTATCGCTTGTGTGATGTCCTGGTGGGGTAGAAAGTCAGTCAATCAGGCTGCACACAGTTAAAAAAGGGAAGCAAACAGGCAATATTTCTTTTTTTCAATAATGCTGGATAATCTCCCTTAAATATGTATTTAAAACGAATCTCTCTCATTCGCAATCTGCCTTTCTCTCTCACACAAGTCTTTCAGCCCCTTCCCTCCTCGTCTCTTTCTCTCTCTCTCTCTCTCTCTCTCTCTCTCTCTCTCTCTCTCTCTCTCTGTCCTATTCTCTCGTTCTGTTTCTCTCTCCCTCTCTTCCTCATCGCACTCTTCCTCATTAACTTTCTCTCTATGTCCTTTATCCTTTCACTTAGTCATTATCCCTCTCTGCTGCCTCCCCCACCCCTTTTTTTAATTGTCTCAGAAAATCTCTCTCTCTCTTTCTTTCCCTATCTCTCTCTATCTCTCTCGTTCCACGACTCCGCTCGAGGTCTGAATCAGTTTGCTCTCAAATAGAGGAGACACAGTCATTTTCGAGGGACAGGATATGGCTTCTCCCAAAGTAAGATGTTAGACTTCACATCTACAAGGATTAAAAAAAATAATAATAATCACGGGCTGGCAAGTTGATCCCGCCTAAAATATATGCCAGAATATGTTCTGCGAAGCATAAAACAAGCCAATGTATTACATTACTGTTTAAAAACCCCCAAATAAATTACGACCCACCTACACTGGACTGCAGGTTACTTCACATTCGTTATTTCGTAGCCCCAATATACGTCATAAAGCACAAGTTATTAGGGTTTTGCTGCAATCAGGTTATGGGACAATTAACACCTCTTCTGACGCATAGAAAGAAACCCCAGTCAACCAAAGTAAATCTCACAAGAACGGTTTTTGGGCCGACATTTTGCTACCAGTGCCAAACATGGACCCTTACTACAACTAACGAGTAGAAGATGGTAACAACAGAGATGAGATGTCTTAGGAGAGCTGCCAGTGTGACAAAGAAGAGATAACACCAGGAATGAAGAAACTAGATAATGACTAGGACCTAAACCAGTCATACAATTCATTAAAGAAGAGCAAATGAGATGGTTTGGCCACCTGAAGAGAATGCCCTGGTACCATGGTACCAACTGCCACAGAGAGTCACGCTGGGGAAATATAATAATCACAGACCAAGGGGAAGACTTCGAAAGCTATGGAGCGACACCATCAGGAGCAACCTAACAGAAATGAGCACTAACTTGTAAAATGCATTGGAGAAAGAGCACAAATCATTACATCTCCCCTCAACACCTCGCTTAGGTAAATGGTGGAAGAGAAGAAGAAGAAGAAGAAGAAGAAGAAGAAGAAGAAGAAGAAGAAGAAGAAGAAGAAGAAGAAGAAGAAGAAGAAGAAGAAGAAGAAGAAGAAGAAGAAGAAGAAGAAGAAGAAGAAGAAGAAGAAGAAGAAGAAGAAGAAGAAGAAGAAGAAGAAGAAGAAGAAGAAGAAGAAGAAAAAGAAGAAGAAGAAGAAAAAGAAGAAGAAGCAGAAGAAGCAGAAGAAGAAGAAGAAGAAGAAGAAGAAGAAGAAGAAGAAGAAGAAGAAGAAGAAGAAGAAGAAGAAGAAGAAGAAGAAAAAGAAGAAGAAGGAGAAGAAGAAGAAAAAGAAGAAGAAGAAGAAGAAGAAGAAGAAGAAGAAGAAGAAGAAGCTACAATCGGATGTGGTGGACCGAAGAGGGGCAAATATGACAGCTCTGATGTAAACCACTACACAACGTGTAAACTGCCCATATAAGGACAAGCACAGAAGTAGACGAAGAACTGGAAGACAATAATTGTTCAGACACTGTGTTTTATTCTGCAGGTCGTAGCCTGCCCGTTCAGCCTGATGCATCCATCAGTAGATCTGTCTCGGATCTCGGACACCTGGCGAGGCGACATCCCGACCAACACCATCGGCTCCTATGTGGACGTGTTCCTTCTATGCACAATGGGAGGTATTCCGTGGCAGGTAAACAATGGCTTCCGTAGTATTTTTGTTTGTTATTTGGTAACACCAAGATCAAAGCATATCTTCTTCTTCCTGTACACAAACTGTAAATTCCAGCCGGAAAGTCCTGGTTCGTCCATTTTAACTTTTTGTTTTAACCTGGACCTGAGTATTGCGTGTACACCCGTTTTACTGGTTTATTTGTGTGCAGTTGTCGGTCCCTGTCTCACCGGCAGATGTACTCCAACTTTGAGGGAAATCAAACTATATAAAACATTGATAAGACCAGTTCATGGCTCTGAAACTTGAAGCACAGCTACAAGAGATAAAGCCTTATTACTAGGGCTGTACCGAATAGTGATTTTCACTATTCGGCCGAATACGAATAGCAGGACCAACTATTCGGCCGAATACGAATACGAATAGTGTATAGTGTATAAAATATATCTTTAAAAAAAAAGGTCAAATGTACGCTGAACTTTTACTTCATATAAATTAGCACAGAATAGTCATCTTCTTCTTCAGCATTCTGAGCCCTTGAGGTTTACCGTTGTAGATATCACTCGTCTCCATTTATCTCTCTGGCTGGCCTTATCTTCACAATTTATGACAGCAGTTGTTTTCAGGTCTGGCTGGACATTATCTCTCGAGCTTCTTTTTTGTCTGCCTCGTGGTCTACGCCCATTCCTCTCTCAGGTATATACAGTTTTTACTTCTTGTTGTACACTTAATTTGTACATTCTTTTGTATACTTTATATTCAACCAAGTATTTAGGCCTAGGGTGCCTATTCTAGTATTCCGCTGGATATCTCCTTGATGGATGTGCTACAGTGAAGTCCTGCATTCTATAACTGGCACACTTGGCACCGACACAGCATCATGTAATACAGTCGCTACCTTTACAAGCCAACAATAACGCTTGTGACAGGCCACATAAACTTTAATGGCATTAAAGTTACACGTCACAAGATGATGATGATTATTCAATAAAAACGTACGATAATAACTCTTTATTATCTACTCTGAGAATATAAAAGAATTACACTCTTTTCTCAATGGACTCCTGCCATTATAATAAATAAATAGACATTAAACTGTCTCCCGTGTAAGTAAGGTTAATCAAACTTCACAAAGAAGGAACGTCTGCTTCGAACAAGGGAAATATCTTGACTGCCGAATCCTTTGTGTTCTGCAGGAGCCTTTGTGTTAATCGCCCAGCATTCAATTAGCTGGTATCCCAGGTAACAGACCCGACCGGTGGCCGCTGTGTGAACCTTTCACCTGCGCTGTGACCACTAGAAGAAACTAGAAGAAACTTTAACTCTTGGACTATAAGATTACAACAGCTTATCCCCTCCTCTCACAAACTGAAAATCTACGTTTTCAGTTGCACAATTTTAACTCCGTTGTAGTCATCTAGACAACTTATATTCGAATATACCTAGTGAAATCAACATGCAGTTAAGTGAGAATGCATGTAAACGAAATGATGATAACTTTTGTTATAAAAAGAATGCATGTAAATAAAATGATGATAACTTTTGTTATAAGACATGAAATAACAACAAGAAATACAATATAATATCATAACTGGTTCACTAATAACCCATAAGCTAAATCCTTAATCATAATTACTGTCAATCCCAATAAATGGAATCATCTGTCCAAAACACTTGAGAAATTAACTAACTAAACACTTCTCATAGGTATGTCCTTGAAATATACATATCTGGATAAAGTATGTTGATAACAATATATAAGCATCCATTGTAGTGTAGTGAGGTATAAAAATTCCAATGTGAAAAGGAACTGATTGTCTCATGACGTACAAGGAAATCTGGACAAATAGTCAGCAAGTACGTTCTCCTTACCACTCCGGTAGATGATGGTATAGTTAAAAGTCTGAAGAAACAATGTCCAACGAAGAATACGGGCATTTGTTACAGACCCTGTGTTCAAAACAGCAAGTGACTTGTGGTCTGTAATTACATAAAACGTTCTCCCTATTAGGTACCTGGAGAATTTAGCGATGGACCAGTAAATTCCCAGTGCTTCTCTCTCTCCGACACTATAGCGTGTTTCAGTGTCGGACAATTTGCGACTTGCATAGAGGCAAGGATGTAAAGTCCCATCGTACATTTGGGAAATTACTGCTCCCAGTGCGACATTTGAAGCATCTGAGGAAACATAAAAATCAAGTGATAGATTAGGCAATCTCAGAAATGGTTTATTGTTAAATGTTCTTTGTATCTGGCTGAGTGCTTGTGCGCAGGATTCATCCCAAAACACCTCTCGAGGCATCGTCTTTCTTGTCAACTCAGACAACACAGATGTTATAGAGGAATAATGGGGAATAAATTTAGCGTAGAAGTTCTTAGACCCAAAAATGATAGCTCATGAAATGCTATCTGGACTTAAATAGGTGCCTATCTCTGTCTATGTGTTTCTGCTGTGCTCGTGTAACAGCATTGGCCACTGTGTCATTGTCATCGTTCCACTTCTTAATATCTTCTGTTGTGCAAGCTCGCACCCCTGGAACTGTACCAAGAATGATATCTGGTGAACACCGGTTTACAACACATACCTCTGCAACTCCGGTAAAATGGGGACATCTAATTTTCACAATCGCAAGTGGATATTTTTCAAGATTTCCACCGAATGTGCGGCATTTGGCATACCTTCCTGTATATGCAGATGAAGGAACTAAGTATCTTGCCACGCCAATAACATTCGCACCCGTGTCCCTCAAAACTGTAGATCTAACCTTGCCAATGTACCCAAAATGGAGAGGTAATCCACATTCTGTAGGCATGGCGGACAAAGCAGGATACACGATGTCAGGTTGAACTCTGACTTGTACTGTATCACTGTGGCTGGCATGTGTTATGTCCTCTACCTGAACTGCATTGCCCTGTCTTGGTGTAACTCTAGGACAGAATTTTTTTAGGTGATTCCCCCCACACACAAAGCATTTGAGGTTGTTATCGTAGTGCCTCCTCCTGTCTTGTGTCGGAGATTCATAATCATTCTGTCTATAACTTTTGTTTTGACACTGGTCTGATCGGTGACGCCAGGAAGAACAGTACTGACAACCTATAGGCCGGCTAAAGTACCTATGTGACTGTTCTGTCTTCTGAAAGGCTCTATCTGGTCGTCTGGAACGATCATAGCTGTGGCTTCTAAAGTGACCTGCTCTGCCAAAAGTGTTAGGTTTCTGAGCAACATTATTTTGCGAATAATGTGAGCGGTTCACGCGCATGCTAGATGCGGCAGGAATAGGTTCTGTATAACTTTCCTTTTTCAATGACTTGCCAGGATGAGCACTCATATATTGCTCACCCAGTTTTACCATTTCCTCAATAGAAGGTGGTTTTCTTTCTTGAAAGAAAGCAAACAATCCTGTGCTACAACAGGACAGAATCTTATCCCTAATCATCAGGTCTGCTAGACGATCATAAGAATTACCGACCTGCGCCAGAGTTGTCCACCTAGAAAACAAGGTCTTAACATTGGCAACAAAATCACCAAAACTTTTTTCAGAGGAAGGCATTGTGTTTTTGAATTTTTGACGGTAGTTTTCCTCTGTCAAATTTTGGGAAGCCAATAATTTCTGACGCACTGTCTGGAATGATGCACGGTCTTCCAATGGTAAGTCAGTGAACGTGTTTAAGACTGTACCGGTTAGTAGATCTCTAAGACGAGCTACCCACTGTGTCTCAGGAATCTGGGCTGACGACATCGTTTCTTGGAATCTGTCCAAAAAAAGAGTGTAAACAATCATTTGTTGTTAAAAAGGGCAACTTCGGCCTGTATGACCCATTATTCCTGTCTCGGTTGGAGAGCTGATCCATCTCCACACTTTTCTTACTCTCGGCCTCCTTAATAGCAATCATTTTATCTCTCTCTACTCTAGCAATTTCTATCTCAGTGTCGAATCTAAGTTGTTGCTGCTTGTGAGACAATTCTAATTCTCGATCTTTAAATTGCTGCTGCTTATCATTTTCCTGCATCTGCTGCAACATCTGCTCTCTTTTAAATGCTATTTCCTGTTCCTTAAGTACCCGTTCTGCCTCTAACTTTTCCTTTTCTAACCTTATTTGTAGTTCAGCCTTTTCTCTTTCTACACAAATTAGCATTTCTGACTCTTCTTTTAGTTTTAGTCTTTCTGCCTCTGCTTTTCCTTTTTCTGCCTCTGCTTTTTCTTTTTCTGCCTCTGCTTTTTCTTTTTCTGCATTAAGAAGTTGTATCTTCAACTCAGAGTCAATTTTCTTCTGCTGTCTTTCTAACGCTCTTTTTTCTCTCTCTGTAATTTCTTTTTAATCTGGCTTCGGCAAATTTTACCAACTCTGGCCCCTCTAAACTCATAGATCGGCCTAGCTCAACAAAATCCGCAAAGGAAGCCATTATAACTCGATATATTATGCAATACAGAAAATATAAAATAATAATAAATGGGGAAAAAAAAAATGAGACAAACAATGGTTGACAAACAAGACGCTACACTTCGTTCACTGCAACGAATGTACAAAACGACAACGTTGAGAGAATCGAATAGTAAAAATAAAGTTGACACCACAAGCCTGTTATAAAAAAGAAATCATGAAAAGTAAACAGAAGAGCACACCAATGACGTGACGACGGAAACACACTTAACGCATACAATTTTAGCGACTAATTGTCAGAAAGGCCACGAATATTTGCATATCCTCTATATCAGAGCCGCCAATTTGACAAGAAAAGCTGAAGAAAAGAACTAATATGTCTTCCCAAACTCAATGAGCTGATATATTAAAGTTACAAATAACAGAAAACATGGATGATAATCATTCACTCTAACACCTCGGATATGTTATGAGACGAAACGAGCACACAAAACAACTCCCATCCGTCAACAAAAAACATTACCCGATTTAAATCCACAGATGCGATCCTTAGGCGTCGTACTGCTATCCTTAGGCGTCGTACTGCGATCCTCAGGCGTCGTACTGCGATCCTCAGGCGTCGTACTGCGATCCTCGGGCGTCGTACTGCGATCCTTAGGCGACGTACTGCGATCCTTAGGCGACGTACTGCGATCCTTAGGCGACGTACTGTGAACAGGGACCTAGTAGTAATGATGCGAAACTCAAGCATCCACTGCTGAACTCCGTTGAAGAATGTCAATTACGGTAGAACAAACGCGTAATTCTATAGAGTCAAAAAAACACTGCTAATGTCACCAGCACTTTATACAGCTGTAAATGGCAATCAATTAAGGCCTACTGTTAGTTCACGTATGTCCGATAAGTTCGTAAAGCTGCTAGAAACACCCGTTAGCACTGCATACACTTAAAAAAAATAGTTTATAACTCCTTTCAGGATCCGTTAATTTATAACTTTATGTAGAACAGTTTTATGTATTCGTTCAAACGATCATCAGTCTGTAGCACGAACACAGGATTAATCAACACTGTTTATAAATCCATCAAAGGACCGGCTTGGCCATCCACTGTTGTACACTTAATTTGTACATTCTTTTGTATACTTTATATTCAACCAAGTATTTAGGCCTAGGGTGCCTATTCTAGTATTCCGCTGGATATCTCCTTGATGGATGTGCTACAGTGAAGTCCTGCATTCTATAACTGGCACACTTGGCACCGACACAGCATCATGTAATACAGTCGCTACCTTTACAAGCCAACAATAACGCTTGTGACAGGCCACATAAACTTTAATGGCATTAAAGTTACACGTCACAAGATGATGATGATTATTCAATAAAAACGTACGATAATAACTCTTTATTATCTACTCTGAGAATATAAAAGAATTACACTCTTTTCTCAATGGACTCCTGCCATTATAATAAATAAATAGACATTAAACTGTCTCCCGTGTAAGTACGGTTAATCAAACTTCACAAAGAAGGAACGTCTGCTTCGAACAAGGGAAATATCTTGACTGCCGAATCCTTTGTGTTCTGCAGGAGCCTTTGTGTTAATCGCCCAGCATTCAATTAGCTGGTATCCCAGGTAACAGACCCGACCGGTGGCCGCTGTGTGAACCTTTCACCTGCGCTGTGACCACTAGAAGAAACTAGAAGAAACTTTAACTCTTGGACTATAAGATTACAACACTTCTCTGTCATCTGACATGCTTTCAATATGCCCCAACCATTTTAGTGTGTTAGCTCTCATGATGCCAGTGATCAATGATGATTTAAACAGATTATGTGTTACGTTGTTGCTTTTCACTCCCCATTCCCCGATGTTATCATCTTTGATGGGTCCAAAGATTTGTCGTAAGATTGTTTTCGAAAATCTGTAATAAGGCCGAATCTTTTTTATTTCTGCTTCAAGTTTCAGAGCCATATAAAAGGACTGGTCTTATCAACGTTTTATATATTTTGATCTTGGTGTTGCGAGACAGACACTTTGACTTTAGCAGATGTTGAAGGGCAAAGTATACTTTAATTCTAGATTGTATTCTAGATTGTATTTCTTCTCTCAGCATGTTGGAGCAGTTGAAGTTTGTACCCAAGTACTTATATGTTTTCGTTCGTTTGATTTTCATATTATCGACTTGGATGTGGCTGGAGTTTATATTTTTTCCATGTCTAGTTATTATTCGTACAGAATAGTAAACATTTAAAAACATTTTATGTTTGCATTCTTCAGTTAGTATGTGGTAACTAATAACTAGGAATAAAAGATTCCTAAGTATTATAATAAGTAACTAAACTTGGAAATTGTCACTGACAGCTTACTTAATTCAGGAAAGATGCATTAGCTTTCAAGAAAACCAATCGTTCCATTTTTTCTGCATTGAGGCAGTGTATGCAGAAGCGGGTGTAAGATAACTACTATTCGTTTTCGGCTCGACCGCAACTATTCGGCCGAATACAGAATAGTCAATAAGTCCACTATTCGGCCCCGTAGCGAATACGAAGCGAATATTCGGTACAGCCCTACTTATTACATATAACTCATATCTGCGACTTTTGCGGCAAAATCTGTAGGACAAAAGAAGAAGAATAGTCAGGTCTGTAACACGGATATGCATGCAAAACTCAAGTTCTAAAACAACAGCAAAGTCGAGAAGTGGATGAACAGCCAGAATATTCCGCTGGAGTTTACAGCCGGTAAGTGTTGAGAAAAAGACTGACAGCAATTAAATTGTTTTATATTGTATTGCTCTAATATCAGAGCCGTGGCTGAGCCGTCAAACAGGTGACTGGCGCTCTCAGGTCAGACAGGTGACTGGCGCTTCAGGTCAGACAGGTGACCGCGCACTCAGGTCAGACAGGTGACTCGCGCTCTCAGGTCAGACAGGTGACTCGCGCTCTCAGGTCAGACAGGTGACTCGCGCTCTCAGGTCAGACAGGTGACTGGCGCTCTCAGGTCAAACAGGGGACTGGCTCTCTCAGGTCAGACAGGTGACCGCGCACTCAGGTGAGACAGGTGACTCGCGCTCTCAAGTCAGATAGGTGACTCGCGCTCTCAGGTCAAACAGGTGACTCGCGCTCTCAGGTTAGAGAGGTGACTTGCGCTCTCAGGTCAGACAGGTGACTTACGCTCTCAGGTCAGACAGGTGACTTACGCTCTCAGGTCAGACAGGTGACTCGCGCTCTCAGGTCATACAGGTGACTCGCGCTCTCAGGTCATACAGGTGACTCGCGCTCTCAGGTCAGGCAGGTTGATCGCGCTCTCAGGTCAGACAGGTGACCCGCGCTCTGAGGTCAGACAGGCAACTCGCGCTCTCAGGTCAGACAGGCGACTCACGCTCTCAGGTCAGACAGGTCACTCGCCATCTCAGGACATACGGGTGACTCGCGATCTGAGGTTCGACAGGTTGATCGCGCTTTCAGGTCAGACAAGTTGATCGCGCTCTCAGGTCAGACAGGTGACCCGCGCTCTGAGGTCAGACAGGTGACTCGCGCTCTCAAGGTCGTGGGTGTATTCCACGTACTGCGATGTTCGTTTTTTTTTTTTTTTTTAACAAAGTTCAGTTGCTGAAGCTTCAGAGGATTTGTGCGACGCTCTCGTAAGCGGCTTGCCGTTCTGCTGAGAGGGACCAGGCTATGGGGAATAATATTCAGAGTAACTAGGGTTATCATCTTGGCTTGATAGAAGTCCATCATTGTTTACCATGGTTTAAGATTTACATTTAATTTGAGCAAAACTTAATAAGTGTGCCAAGCAATCTTCAAAACATCTTAAAATCACAACAAAACACATCAGAGACAATTAATAGCTGACAACTGACTGACTGACTTTCCACCCAACCAGGACTTCACACAAGCGATAAACACCTGATGACACAAAGTGCCACCATGTGGGTGAGGTTCACCGTGGAGAGGTCCCAAAACTGCGTTCAGCCTTTAGACCATATTTATGGCCAGGCTATATTGCGGCCCTTGGCAAGAGCCAAAGTAGGACTTCAAATAACGAAAAATTTCGCCATAAAAAGGACAAAAAGTTTATATTTTTTAAGGAACACCCCAACTTCACAATGGAAATTTATTTATGTAACTCTTTCTGTGCTCAACAGAGTTTCTATCAAAGAACTTTAGCATGTAAAACGGTACAAGTTGCCAGAGTATCTACACTGATCGCCAGTGTCTTCAGCTTTTCTTTGGCAGTCCCACCCATCATCATGGGCTTCGCTGGAGCAGCAGCTGGTATGTCTGCATTAGTGTCATTGATGTTTTATCTGTTCAACCTCACAACAGTCTGACCATGAAAACAAAGGAAGACAAATAGTAATGGGGGGGGGGGGGGGGGGGGGGGGGGGGGGGGGTTCTTTGCTGATTGAAAAGTTTTGATTCTCGAAAATTTATTAAATACTTTGTCCATATTAAGCGCCGTATTTGTTTTGGGAGAGCAATGTTTGGAAAAAAGGAGGGGGGGGGGTGGGGTATAGAAGAAGAGGCAGGTGACTACCAATAAACAGAGGGGGAACCTTTGAGGCCGTTAAATATTATGAATTATTCAAGTAACAGAAAGTGTATTGATTGACACTCATAGAAAGAAGTAGATAGATAGATGAACACACTAGACAACATAAAAATCGAAAGCTATAGTTACCGTGCTGGGAATTGAACCTGTCACCTCCAGACGGCGTCTGCGCCTCGCTATGAATACAAGTGCACTAAGAACATGGTCAACTAGGCACCCCCAAAAAGGTGTCTTATTGACCATGTCTATCGTACAACTTGAAATCCACAACTATGGAATACAGGTAACTACCAACACGACGGTGGGGGCAGGCTATCTGGACACCCTGCGCCTAAAAGAAGAAGAAGAAGAAAGAAAACAAGAACGAGAACAAGGTCAAAGAATATAAACGGTCTCCTTCACAGAACTGGGTTTTATACCATATGACCTGGTTTCTCTCCACAGAACAGCTAACCGTCTGTCAAAAGCCTCACACAAAACAGGAACATAGCTCCTAAAATGATTTCTTTAAAAGTGCCGGTACCGTTGCGTCCGCCACCCCCCCCCCCCCTTTCTTCCAAAACAGTAGTCTTCCCACAATACCGTTGGTACTGACATTTATGTATATCTATCTTCAGATTGGAATGCTACCGACTACCAAGGACCACTACCCATACCCGAAGACATGAAAAGTTACATCCTGCCCTTGACTCTGACCTACTTAACTCCCCTGCCAGTCAGTATCATAGGGATCGGGGCTATTTCTGCTGCGGTGATGTCGTCTGCTGATTCCTGTATCTTGGCAACCAGTTCTGTTTTCTCTAAAAACATTTACGCCGAAATTATCAGACCACAGGTGAGCTTTTTAATTTAAGCTAGAGTCGCCGTGTGGGCTCCAAGGCCAAATTGTCCACTAAGAAACATGCCGTAAAAAGCGCCTTCTATATAGGTTGCTGAAATCTGATATTTTGGACCGGAAGGCGCAGTTTGAAAGGGGTAGCTGTAAACCATTATTTTAATAGCGAACAAAAAAGAAGCAGTAGGAAGAGGAGGGGGAGGAGGAGGAGAAGAACAACAAGAAGAACAGGAAGAACAAGAACAAGAAGAACAAGAGAAGAAGAAAAAGATTTCATTTGGAATATCAGTGTAAATCAGATGACAGAAGTCGAGCTGATACTAAGAACATAAGAAATACATGGAAGTCTTTTCTTTTCTCTCTGTTGAGTTTCCTAGTCATAGTTTGTTCGGTGTTCAATTAATTCTGAACATCTGAAGTTCTACCTAGTTTTGAAGGCGCGGTTGAGCAGAATTGTATTGCTTTCCCAAAGTTGTACCCTCAAAATAAAAAAATAAAAAAGGAATTATCTATTAAATTCTTGTACTGATCAAAACTAATTTTTTGCATGTGGTCTTACATTTTCAACGTCCTTTTGATTTTTATAATTTATAAATGCATAGGTGCTGCTGCTTTCTTAAAACGACAAATTTCTTGGATCATTGACAGACTAACAATTTGAGTACTACTAAAAATATAATATACCACTGAAACAAATCTTTTACCTTTTATGAGCCATAAGTCATGACATCACCACATTATCCACTTCACTATTCAAAATAAGTGCACCGTGGCTGTTTATGTGCATTACCTCATAAACACGTGCAATGCTGTTTGCAATGTTTACGAGACTCCATTAACTGTAAACATGCCAGTTGTATGCTTTGAATGGGTGTCTACTTTTTCATATAATGCAAATAGGACAAAATAAAAACAACATGTTTGTTTACATTATAATTCTTTTCCTACAAGGACATGATTATTAACAGGTTGCGTGCCATATTTCAACAATATATACAGAAAAGGTTACCGAGTTAGAGATGTTTAAACGTGGGAACGACTTTCGGAAAGCACTATAGCACATTTTCGCCTCCTAACGACGAAGTGGTTTCTACATATATGTTGCTTGTCCACCACGAGTGATGAAGACCACTTTCATCCAAAGTATTAATGATCAATGATTATGAGCACAAAGGTGGCTGATTAGTCCAATATAAGCAGAAAAGTTCTTGAGCAGTGCGGACAACAGTTGGAAACCCCAGTAGGTGTGGGATTAGCAGTACGATTCTTTCTAGTCTGCCTCAGTTTCTCAAGTTTTCAGGACCCCCCCCCCCCCTCCCCTTTCCCTGGTGGAACGGAGTTCGTGCACTGCGCTGGGAAACTTCAGACTCAGGTTTGAGTTAGAAGTAGAACAGAGCAGTTATGGGTTACACCCGTGTGCCATGATGTTGATCCGTCGAATGAACATAAACAATCAATGAGCCAAGTAGTTCTGTTTTTTTTTTTTGGGTCATCTTGTGTCGCTCACCGATCACCTCTCCCAACACACACACACTCCTTTCTTTGTCACACATACCGACACTTTATTATGCGTATTGGCGAGTAGGGAATATCATATACAGACTTCATGATTTTTTTTTCAACACATTTATAATTGAAATTAGTCATACAATTTATTAACAATTAACTGATGAAATTATATGATCATCAGAGGACAATTCCTGCTACAAACTGTCAACAGTGAGCCCCGGTGAAGAAATGTAAATAACTCAGTGCAAGTGGAAAACCACGCAAAAGACGGAACTGATTGAATCAAGACCATGTTTATAAAATGAAGATCACGAATTACTCATTAGAATGCGAACACATAGATTCTTCTCCCTCCAAAAAATGCTTACTTCGCTGTTGTAACCTGAGGAGGAGAAAATTAAGTAGCAGAAGAAGAAGAAGAAGAAGAAGAAGAAGACGAAGAAGAAGAAGAAGAAGAAGAAGAAGAAGAAGAAGAAGAAGAAGAAGAAGAAGAAGAAGAAGAAGAAGAAGAAGAAGAAGAAGAAGAAGAAGAAGAAGAAAGAAGAAAAAAGAAGATGAAGAAGAAGAGAAGAGGTTCAGTTTATTTTGATAGACTTTCATGTTACAAAGTTAAAAATGAGCTGCTGTTTATCTGTAAATGTTACCTTTGTTCACAATTGCAGGCAACAGAAAAAGAACTCATTTGGGTCCTACGAATCTCCATCGTAGTTGTTGGCGCTCTCGGAACACTCATCGCCGTGTTCTCAAAGACTATATACGGACTATATGTTTTGTGTTCTGACATGATGTACGTAGTTCTCTTCCCCCAACTAACCATCGTTCTCTATATGCCAAGTTCAAACGCCTATGGCTGCATGGCAGGCTTCTTTGTCTCCCTCATTTTAAGGCTCGCTAGTGGAGAACCTGTTTTGGGCATTCCTCCTGGTATTAAGTTCCCATACTTTGACGAAGAAGCTCAAAAGCAATTGTTTCCATTCAGAACATTTGCTATGCTGGTAGGAACTATATCCATCATCGCAGTTTCCTATACAACAGACGCCATATTCTCCAGAGGAATTTTGCCCCGGAAGTACGACTTTCTCAAGTCATACAGACATAGAACAATTAAAAGACGTTACAGCAAATGTGACTTTCTAGAAAATTCCAACAAGGAGCAGATAATAACGTTAAACAGTATAAAAAATAATGTTGATCCTGAGACTTAGCAAATACAATGCTGTATCACTGAGTATTTGAGATGTATGTCCTATGGAAAGAATTTTGTGGAAATTTTACATGTAAGACGGTTGTGTATTATACAGAATTTACAGTGCCTTACTTATATACATCCTGCAAGATCTGAACATCACTATTTCAATATTCAATATTTGTTAATCCGTTATTCTGCAATAAAAAAGTTTTGATAATTTTAAATGCTTTGCATGTTGTCAAAGAACATTCATTTACACATTCAAGTAGTTATGACATGTGTCTACTCAATATGGGACGCTTTTCGTTATTTTAAAGCCCCACCCCGGCTTTAGTCAGGGGCCCTAATATAACTTAACGGTTGAACGGGGTTTCTGGAAATTCTCCCCGGGTAATCCTCATCCGCGTGGTGGCACTTTGTGTTCCCTGGTGTTTATTGCTAGGTGGATGTCCTGGTGGGGTTGAATCTCATTTACATTCAAGTAATGCAAGAATGGCAAGATGTTTTTAGCGTGTTAAATTACAATTCTCTAGATCAATGATTTCAAATGAGAGAAGGCCAGAGGACGAACTGGGAACGAACGAACGAACAAACTTTATTTTCAAAGGGTTACAAATTTGGCACACAGGCCCGTCTTACATTCTGCCCTTCTGGCCTCACGCCATGCATACATTATTTATGCACACATTATTTTAGAAGATAGTAATAATAATAATAATAATAATAATAATAATAATAATAATAATAATAATAATGATAATAACATGCATCATCAATAACATCTTTGTAACAATGTACTCTAAGTATGCCTACATTTTTAAAACAATTATAATACTAAATATAATAAATCTTGGTGGAAATCAACATTATTCTTATGAAACTTTATCTTCTAAGGGGGAACTAATGTTCTACACCAGAGGGTCTCAACCTTCCTAATACAGCGACCCTTTAATACAGCTCCCTATGTCGTAGTGACTCACAAACAATTATTTCCTGGTTTTCCGATGGTCTTAGGCGACTCATGTGAAAGGGTCGTTCGGTGCAAAAAAGAGTCGGGACCAGCAGGCTGAGAACCGCTGCTCTAAAGCAACAACAACAAAAAACACCACTTTATGCCTATTCGCCTCATCCCAGCGGATACCTGGTTACTTCCTATAGCCACAAGGCGCACACATAACATCGTTTTAAATAAAACAATGTGTGCAGGATCGGCTTTTGGTGGATTGGCATCTGAATACTGGCTCTTTGAGTCGATGGGTGTCAACTCATCATAAAGCAGTCCTTGAAGGGAAAAGGGTAAAATGGGAAAAGAGGCAAAATGGGAAAAAATAGGAAAAGGGGGGGGGGGATTTAAAAACAACTTATGTTTTATGTAAGTAAAGTAAAAAGACCCCTTTCCACGTCTTCTAGCGTATTGGACTTATAGGGCTAAACCTTTTTTTTTTTTAAATAGACAAATCGGCACTTGGTGGGTAATGGGGTCAACCATCACACCAACTGCCTTTGATTCCCAGGACTTGACCTGGTACCTACTCACGGCTGGGCTGTGTGTTATATATAAGAGACAACCGCCAAGTACTCTTTTCTCTGTCTTGATTTGATTTAATTTGATTTGATTCAAGAGCCGACATCACAGCACTCGGGGCATTCCCATAAGCGCTCCGTCCCCATCTTCAGCAGCCAGCGAAGAGTTCCGATACTAATGAAAGTAGTAGCTTTCTGATTAAATGTCCGTCTCGCCTTTCCTCTGAGCCTTGAGCTTCTGCCAGAACCTCTTGTCACCCCCAACTGCATCAATCTCACCAGACTGTGGTGATCCATCTGCTCCTCCGCATTGTACACGCTCTCCCACAAGGCACTAACCACGTCTGCCCTATCAGGTAGCAGTATTCCACCAAGTTGTGCAGAGCCAGCCAGTCTGTCCGCCTGTTCATTTCCCAACACACCGTCGAGACCCGGTGAAAAAATCCAGACAATACTCCTCACTCGTGTCCTCCGCAGCGAAGCATGCCACTCTGCAGGAAGCATACCTGTTCTGATCTTCCTCAGCATGCTTTCTGAATCAGTTACATTCTCTGTCTTAAGAGTATGATGCTTCATCATTGTCCCGTGGGGCTATCATATGTGACACGAGGCTAACAGTCTATTATGTCCTATACAATCCCCTTGATATCATGGATAACAGGCAGTCCAGCAGCTTTTGCCTCACTCATCATTGTTTCCCCGTTGTGAATTTGAACAAAGAAGGTAGGTAGGTAGTTGTACCCCACCAGGACATCACACAAGCGATAAACACCCGCTGACACAAAGTGCCACCATACGGATGATGATTACCTGTGGAGAGATCCCAAAACCCCTTTCAGCCGTTAATCCACATCTATAGCTAGGCCATATCTATGCCCCGGCTATATTCAGGGCCCACTGCAGAAGCCAGGGTGGGACTTCAAATTAAAAAAAAATTGCATCCCACATGGGGAAGACTTCAATAACAAAAAAGACATAAACAATAGATTGCACAATTTATTGCCTAGCATATTTCGCTGTATCTCATCAGTAACAGTTGATTAAAATGAAGCATATAAATGAAACCTAAACTGAAAGACAAAATCGACTACAGCGAAACATACTAGGCAATAAATTGTGCAATGTATTGGTTGTGACTTTTTTGTTCAAAATCTCTCATCATTGTTCGTTATAGGGTTCCCCATGGACCTCCTTGCTTCCTCCGTCCCATTATTTGCCATTTTAGTTCCTATTTGGTGATTCTTTGCTGGTTTCTTCTCCGGAGATTCTATCTTCTTTGTCTTATAGCTGTTGTTACCAGTAGTTGATTTCCCTTATTTTTTCACCCCTTTTGAATTCATTCGATTTTATGGTCAACATTTTCTTCAGGCATGTAGTGCTTACCCTGTATTTATAATACACCAATCTACACAACATGGATGATTGTGGGCCGGATCCTGCCGGCTGCTTTTACTTCAAACTACATTCCCGCTTACTATTTTAGGATCATTTTAGGAGCTCAAATCAATTTTAGAAAGCCGTCACAATGGGGATTGGGAACCTATGACAACGAGGAGGCAGGCAAACAATTCACCAGCCACCCTAAGCAAGAATGTTAATTACGTAGATAAATATCCCAGTGTAAGTTCTGGTGCTCTGTTTTGGAGAAAGAAGAATTAAAACCCCTCTCCCATCCTCAGCGAGCATGTTCGTAGGATGTGACTAATGAGGGGAGTTTCCTTCAAAGTCGGTGTGCATCTGCCTTAGAGGCAAGGACCAACAGTCTGTACACAAGTGAGCTAGCGCTGTAAAGCGAATGTGCACACAAAACTGAGTTTCTGGATCAGACACAGTCCAGGAGTGGACGAACAATCATACTAATATTCCGCCGGAGTTTACTACCTGTGATAACTAAGAAAAAAAAAAAAAGAAGACAAACTGATTTTTACTTTCTGACAAAATAGACAGTGAAAACATGAGACAATAATTAAATACATTTTGAGCAGACTAAAATTGTTTTATTTTAAATTTCGGCCTAACGCATATATATGCAAAAACCACATGGGTGAACTGTTAATTTAAACAGAAAACTTTCTAGATCGTCTGAATCTTCAACTGAAGTATAGTTTTTTTTTTTTTTTCTAAACGGACCCAACGATTATCAATAAATATTATATCACATAAAGGCAACTGACATAGTGCTTGTAAAGCACCAAGAGATACATATTTATGTTCCTATATTTAAAACACGCTATATATGTGCTGTGTGACAGAGCTCTCGGTGTATGATATATATGATAGCACCACCTCCCCTCCCCCAAACTCTTCATAACCTTAAGAAACAGCTCCCAATCTTGCAACATGGCATGAATAGAGATCTTTATTAGTGCTGTATTGATTACACTAAAGCATTTGATACAGTGAAGCATGAAGAAATTATTAGAAATGTGGAAATCTTAAACACTGATGGTAAAGATCTGAGAATAATAAAAAGCATATACTGGCAACTAAAACTTTTTAAAACAGGAGTCAGACAGGGATGTATACAATCTCCCGATTTAATTAATTTGTACATTGAAAAAATAATTGGATCCATACACGGTATGACAGGAATAGCGGTTGGCAGGCATATTGTTAACAACCTGCGATATACTGACGACATAGTGTTGACAGCTGAAAATGAAACACAACTGCAAGAATTGATGGATATAATTGTAACGAAAAGTGATAACAAGGGTCTTAGTTTGAACAGCAGAAAAACAGAAGTAATGGTAAATCAAAGAAAACTAACCCTCCAAAATTTAACATCAAAGTAAATGGGAGAAACCTTAAACAAGTTAATATCTTTAAGTACCTGGGTATCTTGATAACATCAGATGGAAGATCTATTAAGGAAGTTAAATGTCGAATAGCTCAAGCAAAAGCAGCATTTAACAAAATTAAGATTATTTTATGGAATCTTTCTTTGTCAATTGAGACGAGAAAGAGAATTCTTAAAAGCTTTTGAAAATTCTATATTGATTTACGGATGTGAATCATGGACAGTTAGTAAATTAGTGAAAACTTATTTGGAAGCTGCGGAGATGTGGTTTTATTGACGAATGATGAGAATATCCTGGACAGATAACAAGAGTAATGAAGACGTCTTGAAAGAAACTGACTCACAAAGAGAACTGATTGCAGTATCAGAAACAGACAATCTACGTTCCTTGGACATGTGATGATAAGGAGAAAAAACTGGATTACATCGTCAGAGTAGGAAAGTTGGAGGGAGGGAATGCGGAGGGAGACTGAGAGAACAGATGCTGGACAGTTTGATATCATGGCATGGAGAATGATCTGTGTCAGAGTTGACTGAAAGTACACGAGACAGAAGGTTGTGGACTACCAACGCCACATGGCATGGAGAATGATCTGTGTCAGAGTTGACTGAAAGTACACGAGACAGAAGGTTGTGGACTACCAACGACACATGGCATGGACTTTAAGAAGTACATTTCAAAGTATTACAAA